CCATTTTGTACAGCAACAGCTCCCATAGACTGTAGAGAGTAGTCCCATTTTTGCACCATCGTTTTTCAAGATATTCGTCGAGGGACGTCCGAAGATGCCAGAAGAGGTGAAAGCGTAGAACGAAAGAACACAGACGCACTGTGGATGGTGTTTCTACCTTCAATGCCACAATCTTCCTCGTCTAATCCGTCCTTACAGTGCCTGACGTTATCGCAGACGAAGCTATTGCTGATGCAACTCCCGTCGCAGGCGAACTCCCATCTCGAGCACGACGACGAGTTCCCTTCAGTTCCGTCGATCCCGTTCTCATAATCCTCGATCGTGTTCCCGCGGCAGTCGAACTCGTCGCTGTCGTCCGGACAGTCCGAGTATCCGTCGCATGCCAGGTACAAACCGATACAGGTACCATCGTTGCAGAGGAACTGGTCCGGCTCGCACTTTGTCAGATCATCATCGTTCGAGGTTTGCCACCAATTGTCAGTTGTGCCGATGTTTCTCGTCTCCGCGGTATCCTCCTCGTCGTCTTCCTCGAAATTCTGGTCAGCTCTGAGCCTCCTGGTGCTCGACTCCTCGTTCTTCCCAGCCAGACCACTGACTGAGAAACTTGGAATGGAAACTGTAGAGTCGTCCACTCTCGAATACGTCTCGCTCTGTTGGACTTGCCCTTCCTCTTGGCCAACACCTTGGTTTTCCGTGGAGAACGAGTAACCGGGCCAACCGGTGTCGTCTTCGCTCCTCTTAGTCAACGTCTCCACCAATGCGGGCGATTCCGTGACGTTCAGGTAGTTGTAAGTCGGCGCCACGTTCAAATCAGGACTGAACACCTCCGACAGCTCCGAGAGATCTTGCAACGAGTCTGAAGAATCGTTGTCCTCTAGCCTGGCAAGCGGTGTGCTCTCCTCGATTAGACCAGAGTCAATTTTCACGTCGTTCCTCAGAGTGTTCTCGAGGGCTGCTTTCAACTTCGCTTCCAGTTCCGACACTCTCTCCTTGCAAGCAGAACAGGTCAAGCTGCAGTTGTACAATTGTAGAATCGGGTGGTTCTTGTGGTTGGACAATCTGGCGCCGCTCAACAGGTCTATCAAGACTACCTTGGAACTGGACTCGAATAACAGTGTCTCTAGCTTGGCGGATAAATTGTAGTCGGTGTAATCTTCGTCTAGAGTTGGAGGGGCAGTTGACTCTAAATACTTGTGAAAGTATCTCGCTAGTTTGCCATCTTTCTTTGCTTTGTAGCCACGAATGTCTTCTCTGCTGTCAGAATTTTCCTTTCTCCTTGCGATCCTGTAAGAATTTTTCAGCTTCGTTTCATCTACAAATATCCTCTTCGAGTTCTCATCCTCTCTGAGTTGCTCCTTGGATGAATATTTAACCCTAGGCACGTCAGAAATATTTTTCTTCACTGATAATGGCGATGATACTCGCCCCTCCAAGTATTTGTGAAAAAATCTCGCCAGTTTGCCACCTTTCTTTGCCCTGTAGCCATAAATTTCTTCCCTGCTGCCCGATGTCTCTACAGAATTCTGACTAGTCTCTGCAGAGCCAGAATTCTCGCTTCTCTCTGTAACGTTGTAAGAATTTCCTAAATCTGACAGCGTGGTTTCATCCACAAATATAGTCTCCGAGTTCTGCTCCTTGGACGAATATTTAACCTTAGACACGCCAGAAATATTTTTCTTCATTGATAATGGCGATGGTGACGATGATACTCGCCCCTGCAAGTATTTGTGAAAAAACTTCGCCAGTTTGCCACCTTTCTTTGCCCTGTAGCCATAAATTTCTTCTCTGCTGCCTGATGTCTCTACAGAGTTCTGACTGGGATCGTCGGTAACCATAGTGACTTGCGAACAATTTGCGCTGGAACAATTTTCTGTGGTTTCCTCTGTAAATGCCAGCTCCTCTCTGGACGAATGTTTAATCCTGGACACGTTGGAACTGTTCCCTTCCATCGAGTATGATCTCGTCATCTCTTCCTCCACGACTGAGTTCAAATTCCTGTCCAGATCTTCCTCGGAGGACCAGTTCGAACGTCCAGTCTCCGAAGAGCCAATGAGATTAATTCTTAGTTCATCGGAGTTCCAGTTCGTAGACGTTTCCGTGGTCACTGAGGCGACTTTCACGGTTTCGTCTAGATCCTCGTCTGTGGAAGAAAACAGTCTCTCACTCGTTCCTGTGGGAATAACAGAGTCATCGTTTACTGAGGTAGAGGCAGTTTCTGTCGTGCTGTTTGCTTCATCGTCTTCCCTGGTAGAAGGATTAATTTCCAACGTAATTTGAAAGTCTTCAAATTTTGGTAGCGTAGTTCCCTCGAAGATTCTCCAATTGCTCGTCTCCTCGAGCTTTTCTCGAGTCTGGACAGTCTCATTCTGAACAGCAGGAGAAGATATTTGGACTACTGCAGTTGAGTCTGGACTACTGGAGACAGTCGAACTAACGGTTTCCGGCGTCGCGGAGCTTTCCGGACGTTTGAATCTACCCTTCTGCCTCTTTCTCTTGCCCTTTCTCGACTTCTTCTTTCCGCGTACCTTCTCCTCGTCGACCAAAGTCGTGGAATTCGTTGGAACTGACACCTCAGTACTCGTAGACGTTGCATTCTCGTGAACATTCGTATCGTTTTTTACAGCAATCCTTTCACGTTGGTGCTTCTTCTTCTTCTTCTTTTTTTTTCTCGACTTTCTAACTTTATTCTCAGTGAGATTCTTCGCTTCGCTCAAGGAACGTAGCATATTTTTCGCAGGCCTGAGACTCTTGTAAAAATTCTTGCCTGCCTTGTTCTTTGTTTCGGTGTTCAGCCTTGGATACGCTGGATAGCGAGGTGTTTTCTTCAAGGACGGATCGCCGACGAAGTGTTTCTTCACGACTTGCTTCTTCCGACTCGACAATGTCTGCCGCCATTTTGGTTCGCCGACGCGGCTCCACATTCGATTTCTCGCTTCCAGATAATTTTGAAATATACGCTTGTCGTTGTATATGTTCTTCCACAGGGCATTCTCTGCGACGACGAAACGTGAGAGACTCTTCTCTTCGAAGAGAAGAAGACAAAGGGGAGAGAAGAAAATCCTAGCCCTCAACGGGGGGGACATCAACGAGAGAAAGAAGACGGTGGACGAGATTGAATCAACGTGGTGAACCACGACTCGTGGTGAACTTGCTCATTGAAAACACGACTAACTTGTAAATCTTCGTTTAACGGAAATGAAAGGAAATTTTCGAATTTTCGAAATTAAATGAAAAGAGAAAAACAGTTTTGTCGACAGTACAGAATTATGGATTTCATTAAATTAAAAATAATTTGCATTTACGGTTAAAATTGCATGCAACGATTAATGCAACCGCGATGGGAATTAAACGATGGGAGCGAGGGGAAACCAGAAAATTGCCGTAGTGCGGTTTCAATTTTAAATATCTATGTGTGTGTGTGTGTGTGTGTGTGTCACAGCAACAGGTGTGTGAATTATTCAGAAACTTCATTTTCACGTTTCAAGGCCAATCGGAGTTTCATCCCCGCGCGCGTCTTCCTCAAGGAACAAAGTCAAAGAGTGCAAAAATTTTTCCCCTTGAAAGTAACACGTTCGATCGTAAAAAAGTAAGTAGTCCCCACTTTTTTTTACTGTTTCTATATTTTTCCACCTTTTGTTTTTTAGACATTATTTCTGTAGACAACTTTTTATAATTATCAACTTAACTTATATAATCATCAATAGTATTAACAAGATCAGGATATTGCCCCTGTGAGTGCCAAATCGAATGGAACATTAAATTTACGAAATTCTTTTTATCGTCCCCTATAATCCCGTGAATATTTGAATTCTAATTTTATATATATATATATCCATAAAATACTATCAACTCTATTCTTGAATTTGACAAAGTTACTAGATCCTAATCTCCTCCTCTTCTTTCTCAAGTTTCAGTCCTATCGAATCACCAGAACCACTGAACCTCATCCTCGCAACGCACAAATCTCTGGCTCGAATCAACTGATTAATTCATCCGGGCAGCTATAATCTCGTTGAGTTCGTCGCACGCAACGTTGTCAACGGCTACTGATCATTGTTCCAGAGGAATTGAATCGACGACACAAGCAACCGAATCGATAAGCGAAACTATAATGATCACGGTCTGATGTGGCGACTCGAGACAGGCTGGACGTTGAACAGAGTGAACAGCTAACAGCTAATATTCAAGTGAGTAGAAACACGACAGACACGTTTGTTCGAAAAATCCAGAGCAGATGTGTAATGCTGGCGTGTGCGTGTGTAGGTGTGAGTGTGGCGATAATACGCGAGAAGTGTTGGTGGTGTGAATGGCATAATTACCGCAGTCCCTCTCGTCAGAGCCATCAGAGCACTCCTCCACCCCGTTGCACTGCAACTCGTAACCGATGCACCGTCCATCCTGATTGCAGCGAAAATAGGCCTCTCCGCAACCTGCTTCCACACACCACACTCATGCACATTTAACCCTTTAACTGGCGCGCAACTGGTTAAATAATATAGGCGACAGATACGCAGAGAGGGAGACTTTTCGAGAAAAGGGGGACTGGGACACTTTTCTTTTGCTCTCGGCGATCGTTTAGTATTGTTCAGCGACCAATGATAATCGTTTTTTGGAAGTATTGTCAAGGCTATCGCAATAGGATTATTTATGATCTAGATTTATTAGACCAGGAGAAATGATAAATCTTTATGGTCAGATCAGTTTCAACAAGAATACTTGTTTGATAGTCCAAGTCTGTTAGAAAAAAAAAAAAAAAAAGAGAAAAAGTGAAATCGAAACGAGGTGAACTGTTCTTGGAATTTTATTATAATTCTAACACCACCAAGGGACAAAGTCTTTTAGTACGTCAAGATTCTCGCCTAATCGAAATCTGTTTCGAAAAAAAAAAAGTATCCGTTCCCGCGTTGATTCGATACGAGAATCATTCCAGTGAGTGGCGCAGTTAAAAGGGTTAAAAGCGCAGTCAAGCTGGCTTCTCATCAGCCCCTGGCTTTCACAAATAAAAAACACGCGGCCTCGGCTTACGATTTAAGCGTTCCCCCCGGTTTGACGTTTCCATTCCTTTCCCCTCTTCGTCCAGTGAAATCAGCCGTGCGACGTCGATACCCAGCCCTCAGCGAAATTTTCAGATCCTTTTTTTTTCTTTCTTTCCTTTTTTTTTTTTTT